ACCCCCCCCCCCCCCCCCCCGCTACACGTAGTGCCCGCTTTGAATCGATGTCTGTAGAAGAGCCGGCGGGAATGTCGAGAAGGCATAAACAGGGGGGGAGGAAACTTGCGTGCCTGCCATCTGTGTTGCAAGATGGTAGATGGGATGGCGTCGAGTCACAGAGACGCACAGAGAGAAACAGAAAGGTGCAAAAAGAGAGGCACATAGAGAGATATTGAGACAGAGTCAGTTGAACAGTTAGACAGGCAGACAGACAGACAGACAGAAAAGGGTACTTGACCCTTTTCTACTCACCCTACGTATTGCTGCTGTCTCGCTACAACCCCCCTCCAATACCCCCTGAATCCATCAACAACCTATTGACAGGGCTGGCGAGAGCACGTGGAGGAGCCTGGACCTCCGTTGGTCAATCCCGTCGTCATTCCAAGTGGGTGCGCCGAGCACGCCAACATCTACGCAATCTACGCCGTCGACTCGAGGCAGGCGAGTAGCCGGCAGAAGACACAATGGTCCACGACGGTGATTTTTTCACGAAACATAAGCTGCAGTTCGGCTTTTGCCACTCCGACGTCCGATTAGTGTTTCTACCTCTGTATGTGTACTACGAAAGCTTTCCTCCACCTGCATGTCTTTGGCGTAATATCGTTGCACGCGGTAATGTTTCCTAAGGAACCACCAACCTCTCGTATGGCTTGCATGAAACTACTGCCAAGCTCCAGGGTGCAAACTTTTCAGACAGCAGTACCATGATGCTCTGCCGCCCCCAACCAGTTCCTCTGCAGCGACAGCGAGGGCCGTACCCGAAACTTTGCGGCTGATCCGTGTTTGGGCAGTACCAATCCGCGCTTTTTCTACAGGGTAGTGGCGGAGAACCGCGAGCCTCAGCATCGTCGTTCTTACTCTCTGGTGGGTGGTTTTCCGTGCTCTGCATTCTTTGCATGTTAGGTTCTTCACGCTTTGCTAATGGAGCCCCGGTTTCTGAGCATGACGCCCGACACGGGTCTGGTGGACTTGACCGCCGAGGAAACGGGACGGTTTGCCCGGACTCTCGCAAGGTCGATTGAAGCACAATAACAATTGTACCCCATGCAAAGGCTCGCTGTATACTAAAAGGATGTGATGATGGGGGTTCGCAGAGATGGTTTCAAATATCTTCGTATTCGAATAGGCGAACTAACGATGGCATCTGGTAGCTACTTGGGGTGCCCACGCCACAGGGGAGACGCACCCGACGTGTCGGTGGTGGTGATGGTGGTGGTGGTGGTGGTTCGACGTTTCTCGTGGACAACTCACGAACCAAAATCGTGGCGCTCCGATACATGTTGCTTCGTTGCCAATCGTGTTTCGTCCCCCCACCCAGACATCAAGCGAGCGTTGAAGGCAAGAGCGACCTCGAAAGCGCGGCGTTCTTGTTGGTGACAGGCGTTTGGGCGCCGGGGAGCTTGATTGAAAGTCCCGTGCTCTACACCAAAGGGGACGGAACCCAGGTACATTGATGACTTTCCTGCCCTATAACTACCGATATGTGGTTGCCGGGTGTCTGGCATCCTTCTAGACTACGGCATCGACGTTTGCTACGTCAAACGCGTAGTTCCTGTGTACTTGTACGTGACACAGCGTCGACATTTTCGGATGAGGGAAATACTTTGTGGAGACAAGACCTTCTGACAGAGTAAGCGACCGCGTCGCACACTGTCGCCATGTCACCTGCAGGTTTCCACTTTTTTTGTTTTTCCACATTTTGGCCCAACCTGAGACTTCTTGTCTTGATCTATGTATTTGAGAAACGGTGACGAACCGAAGAGCTCCTTTCCTGAAAAGAGAAAAGTCTGAACCTTCATTAAGAAAGCCGGCTCAAGCTCAACAACGTTGCCGCCGAAAAGCAACCTGCCCAACCATCCCCCATTGCGGAGCAGGTGACAGACTACCCGCGGTCTTTGGCGCTTTGGGCCGGCACCACGGACGGCGCCCGCCTCGCCGACGATAACGCCGAGCGCCAACAGTACTCGGAGTCCCTACGGCAGGCCATCCGGCAAGCCGAACACCGCCTAGGGCAGCAGCAAGAACGAAAGGATGCCCTCGTCCAAGCGACAGAAGAAGAAGCACAACGAGCAGATAACGGTAGTGGTGACGTCACCACAGCCGCCCGCCCCCTCAGCGAGTGCCGATCGCAGGCCAGATACGGGTCCGGGCCGGACATGGTCAGGATGGGGAAGGAGTACACGGCTGGCGAGCTCCTGCAGATCGTGCCTCAAGTATTTGGGGTCCGCCCTGCGGCCGGGTCGCAGGAGCTGTGACTCGACCGACGCTATTTCAAAGTCATCAAGGTATTTCTCTCTGCAGATGGAGATGTCCATCTGCAGACAGAGATGAAAATGTATGTAGAATATGAACATGAAGACTACCCGTTCGAGATAGCGCCACAGTTGAAAGGGGGGTGTTGTCAAGTCTTCACAGATTGTCAGGATAAGAGTTTTTCTTGCCCTACACGCCATCCTATGACCGGGTCGTTGGAGCTGTCGCTCGAAAAAGCGTAAATGTTTCACGGGTTTATATCTACGGATAGAGATGAGGTGTATTTAGGACAATTACATATTGTCACTCGCAGACCAACCCGTTCGAGATAGTAAGTGCCACTGTTGCAGTTATAGGGATGTGTTGCGATCGCAGCCTGCGAGGAAGAAAATTGTTTTCCTGCACCCCATCCTACTGCCGAGTCGCAGGAGCTATAGCGCGAAAACGGTTGAAAAGTACCACGCGTTTCTATCCGTGGGTAGAGGAGAAAATGTACTTAGAACATGACATACCATCACTGAAATAATGCCTGCTCAAGGAAAACACAGCAGCGGTAGAAGGGGTGGAAGGTAGTCTTGTTTTCCTACAGTACACATTTGTGGGGACTCTGTGTCTGGGAGGGGGGAGGCGGCATGGTCGGGCGCAAACCCGGCGTTGAATACAGCCCGGCCAATGTAGTAGGGGGAAAAGGGTAAATATGACCATACGAGTTTTCTCGTGTCTTGCTTGCGCGATTGTCGGGCAGGGGCGGTGGGCACCTTGTATCGATCCCCTTCTTGGCTCGTGGGTGGCTGAGGGAGACGATAGTCACGCCTGATACAGTAGTAGGGTCACATGCACGAAGCGGGATCACCGATCGATGTCGAATACAAACATGTACAAGACGATACACAACACTGCTGTGTGACAAGGGGATTGTTGTTGTTGTTGTCTTCACATTAAAAACCGTTCCGATCTCTCTCTACCCAGTACCTTCGTATGTCCGTACTGATCCAACAAGGGGATGTCCTGAGTTGACACAACGATTGGGGTGACGAGACCTTGGGAGATGGTGGTGTCACGACGAAAGGTGTACTCTTGCCTCACTCTTGACAACCGCAACGACTGCTTCAACGTGGACCTCACTCGACACAAAATTGATTGCGACTAAGACGCCGCCGCCCTGGCCGCATGCCCTGAGAGAGAAAAAATCGGGGCACGTTGCACAGGCACACAAAACGAGTATATTGACGCATTGAATTACATGAAGATATGCCACCCTGCAGGACAAGGAAGCACGGTCGACAAAAAGCAACATGGCACCAGCACCCTCCCACCCCCAAAAGAGACAAGCCGCCAAGAAACCCGTAAAAAGATATCACATCAAGCACATGTACACACGTGAAGTTCACCATCTAGGTGCGACAGAAAGCCATACAATAACGGACCGAAGAAATTCACAAGAGAAAGGGGGGTTGACCCCGCTACTAGAAAAATAGCGCAACACGCGTTGCCGACAAAGGATAAATCCGACCGAGAAACGAATCCCCTCGGTCACCAGTAACAAGGCACTTTTTCGAGGCAAGCAAAACGCAAAGATGGGGTTGGACATGCAGCCTGCCCAAAAAGTCTCGAACATATCCAAGATTACTTCCAGACTTTTTTTAGCAGAGTAGAACAATGTTCAGGATCAAGACGATAACAAAGACGACGACGACGACCTCGTATTTATGGTTAGCCTACTCTCACTTTCAACGCGCGCCTGGTAACAATATTCACTGAAGACACCTTAGTCGCACTGGACATTTACCGGCGGCAAACGAAGGGCCATCAGCGCCGCAAAGGGACAAATACCGTGGGCGACGCAAGATAACACACCCCCTGGATCGACTTGCGATTACTCCACGGAACGAAACGAAACGATGCGTTTTCGAGAAAAGCGCTCAAAGACACGTTTCCAACGCCGACGCTTCTACTGTGCAGCAATCGGGATTTTGAAGACCAATCGAGGGGGTGTGGTATCTTATGCCGTCTGCGGTACGTCTTCGTAGGAGAGTTCCACGGCAGAGAGCGCCACATCAACCAAAGGCAACTCTTCAACGACCGAACCACAGTGGCAAGCGCTTGGTTTCACACCAGAGCACCGTGTCAGTCAAAGGGAAGACGAAAACACGAAGCGAGAAAAACCTCGCATAGGCTGCTACCTGCTGTGGCCACTGCAACAAAACTGTTTACTCGGAGCGTCACCGACACACCTCATCCCCCCGACTATCGCCTGGCGTTCAGGTCGTAGGGCGGCTGACATCAAGCCAGACGCTTTGGAGTAGGGGGAGATAGGCAATATAAGGAAACGAACTTGAGCGCCCCATAAGCTAGAACAACGCCGCTTGTTGGCGCCTGAGAGAGCAACAACAATGAACAATACGGTAAACAGACAACAAGGCGAATGACCCTGTGACGAGAGCCCAAGCTCTGCATACCTGAGCGTGGGGAAAATCCGTAAGAACTTCCGCACCCCATAGGACACGCAACCGCGTCTGGGGCATCGGTTACTCGCCACCGTTGCCGTCCTTTCCAGCGAGGACTTGGAAACAGTGATCGCCTAGCCTCGCGCGTTCCTCCTCTCCCGCGCTTTTCAACCTTTCCCGCGCCTGTAGTTGGACGAGTCCGCGGATTAGGAAAGACTATTTTTCTTGTTGTCATCATATTTTTCTGAACGCCGGTCTTTTCACCCTTTGGTACAATACATGCACTGGCCAACAACAACAAACGGATTTCCCGGACACTGCGCATCGGATTTTCCCTCGGGATCGTTGGGGGGAAGGGGGGTGTACTCATAGTCGTGCATGCCGTAGTCGTTAGACCATTGACCTCGCATCCCTACAAAGCCGGGACGGAGCACGCCGGGTTCTCACCGGACCAGGCTCTCACATCACCAAGCGCGAAGCGCCGTGAGATATTCGGCGAGTCGCATGAAGGGTGCGCTGCATCCTGCTAAGGGTGTTCGGCATCTTGTGCTTACTTCCTTGCGTACGGATGACAGCTGCGTATGAATTAATTTATTTTCTGGTGCTTTCACTTCCAGAGACAGTTGTAAGCACTGTGTAACTGCCTCGAGGGTGCTTGACCATTTTAACACAACGTGGTGCGATGGTCTCCCTTGCGCGGAGTGAGGGTTCTCGACCCCGCACAACATGATCTATTCGANCGGTGCGCTGCATCCTACTGAGGGTGTTCGGCATCTTGTGCTTACTGCCTTGCGAACGGATGATAGCTGCGAATGGCTTAATTTATTTTCTGGTGCTTTCACTTCCAGAGACAGTTATAAGCACTG